GGGCTGTCCTCCCCCCTGCTCCCCTGCTGGGCAGGTCCGTTTGGACACGTTCTCTTTCTCTCGTCCTTCGGAGTTCGCCTCAGCTCAAGGCCTCTTCCGGCGCCTCCTTGCAGAGGAAGAACCCTGGTCGGCACCGTGCCGTCTGTGTGCTGACGGTCCCCTCGTCACTGAGGCTCGATGGCCCAGGTGTGCCTGAGGTTCCTAGAGACGGGGGACCACGTCTTCTATCTGTCCTTGGCCCTCAGTGACCCGCTCAGCACCGGCCCAAGAGATTGCCAACCCATTCGTATCCAAGAAGTTAGAAAATTGGTCTTCATCCGATAGAAAATTTCAAGACCAACATTCGTTCTTATTTATTTGCAACTATCTAGAAAGTGCAGGTTGGCAGAGCTCTGACTCGATAATGACCAGGAGGCGAAATCTTTACTGTGACTTCTTGTCATGTAATAAATGTCTGTGTCTTACAGGAAGATTTTTAGCCGAAGCTCTAACGAGATTCTGCTGAAACGTATCTGTAAGAGACACCATTACCTGTCTGTCACGTGCGGTGGGACCGTGTCACGTGCGGTGGGACCGTGTCACGTGCGGTGGGACCGTGTCACGTGCGGTGGGACCGTGTGGGGCTGGATGACACCTGGTGGGTCCCCGGGTGCCGGCAAGCGGGCGCGTCCGAGGCCGTGGCTGGTGGATTCGTGGAAGTGCACTGGCTGTCCACCCGCGTCTCACTGTGGCCTCCACTGGCGTCACAGACTGGGGCCCTCTTTGAGAATTCCGACCTAAAAGGGGAACTAAAAACTGAGTTCAAACCCTATATAATGTGACTTTCCCCAGATCAGATAACCCTTCTGTGGCGGAGGCCGGCTCGGGTAGGGATTTCTTCTTCTGCGCTGCCCTCTCTCGAAGGTGGCGGAGTCCAGGCCACACACCGAGGAGAAATGCACCAGAGGACATGAACGCGTTCACAGGCCCCTGTTTTGCTGTCAGGAAAAGTGTGATGCTGCTGGTTTCTTTGGCGAGAATGATTTTGAATCTGCGTTTACTGGTCTTGCATAAACGTAGTAGGTGAAGTAATTACATGTTATTTAAAAATGTTGTGATTTAAATATCTCATAGGAAAACACTTAAATTGGGGTTTAAAAATGGGGTTAAAAGGAACCTATAGATGCCCTCTATGTTGACATTTTTCTCATTTTTCATGTCATAGGTAGGCTCTCGAAACTGATTTTAAAAAAATAATTTTTTCTTTTATTGGCGTGGTAAAGAAATTAAAACCCGATCTATATTTACAGTTTTCTTTTATCAAATTATAAATGCACATAACTTACAGAAGCAAGAGGTCCTGTGGGATTCATGAGAAGAATTAGCAGGGCCTCACCCACTGCCCCATCCCAGACCTTCCCCTCCCTACAAGAAATCCATTTACTCTTTTTTTAAATCTTAGCTGTTGCGTTTTGGTATTTATGAAACTGGTGTTGATGCTTTTTCTCCTCCCACCTTTTACTCTGGGCCATTTCAAAGCCACGGAGAAGACCGAGAGTCATAATTCACGCAGGACCGTGGAACGTCACCTCAGTCCATCCCTGCTCAGGGCAGGGCCGCGTGCTCTCTCCCCAGGTGCGTGGTCCATGCAGCCTGTGGGAGTCACTGAGGACGCCCTCAGGCCCCTCAGGACAAGGACCTTCTCCAACTTCACCCACACGAGCATCACACTTGAGCAGATGCAGTTCAGTCTCCAAGATGCCCCCATGTTCCCCTCCCCACGGCTTCTTCTGTCCTTCTCTGCCCTCAGGTGTGACTCGGGTCCGGGACCCCTCCCGTCCCGCACCTCACACACACTTCTCTGGTGTCCGTTTCTCTTCTGCTTTGGGATGACCCACCACGGCCGCTCCTCTCCCCTTCCCTGTCTTCCCCTTGCCTGCGTGGCCCTGGGGCTCAGGGCTCTACTGCTCCCTCATGACAAATGCAGCATTTGGATCCCGTTTTCTCCTATGCTGGGAAATCCAAAGATTTGTTCCTCGCATCAACGACTCCTTCCTTAAAAATAAATAAGACGTTCTCTGAGTTTGTGGAGTATTTTTAATTTAGTGTTCAATCTTTATCATCATCTTTCTAATAATAAAGATAAAATATAAATAATCTTTATAATCCTAAGATATTTTCACATAAAATAGATACAATATCAGAAACACAGCTCAGTTCCTCCCTCGGGGGACACGCCGTGTTCCGTTAGAGACTTCGCACGTGACGAAGTTGGAAACTGTTCCACCAGGACAGCGGGTCAGTGAGGCTTGTCTTACGAAGACTTAGAGCACATTTGTGCGTATCTGCAACGCTCGTCATTACAGACATGGACTAAACTTGCGAGTCACCCGAGGGGTTCTGTTCCCCTTGTATGAGGATTTTTCCTTTGCTTCTTTCTGGTCAACAGTAGCTCGAAATCCCAGCCAGAGCCCTGAAGCTCTGCAGACACATTCGGCCCAAGACCAAGAGCTCCTGCTGGGGACGCGCAGCTCTGCTCCACCCCGTCCCCGTTCCTCCCTGTGGTGCCTCTGCTCCCTGTAGGCGTGTCTGCCCCACATCGGACCCCCGGCTGCTCCCTGAGCCGTGGGACTCTGAGCGGGTCAAAGGATATAGGTGACAGAGAGGATTAAAAACACAGACACATGCACAGATACACACAGATACACAGACATGGGGGGGGGGCGGTGTGCAGCAGAGGCGGGGCGGGGGTGGGGCTTCCGGCTGGATGGGTCAGAGCACCAGCTGGGGAAGATGGAAAGTTCTAGAGATGGACGGTGGTGATGGCTGCTCCTCAGTGTGAATATCCTTGCTGTCCCTGCACCATGACAAGACGGTTAAGATGGCAAATCTCACATGATGTACAACATACAGAGGGGGGTGTGCAAGGCTGGCGGTTTCGGGGAGTCCACGAACACTGGTGGTGTGTTCTAGGAGTCTCTGACAGTCGCTGACCCAACCCGCAGGGAGTTGCGCAGTTCATGATCCCGAGCCCTAAATAAATCACAGTCTGATTCAGTGGCAGAGGTGACTGTGGAAGTACAGAGGACAAGCTTTCTCCAGTCGTCATGTTTTCATCTGTATTAGTGTTTTCCTAGAATACCCTTTAAAGATATTTTAAGTTTGCCTGTGGATCCAGAATTCCAAAGTATATTTTAATAAAACCCATTAGATGATTAAGAAAGTTAATGTGTTAACTTTAAATCAGGTTAATTTGTTCATGTGTTTATTATTGATTCCACAAACATAGTCCGTGTCTGCCGTGTGCCAGGCCCTGTGCCCAGTGCTGGGGACACAAAGATAAGTGGACACCTTCCAAGCTTCAGGGAGGGGATGAGGAGGGAAAGCAGGTGTGAGCACCAGCGGGTGGCCTGCGGGGCGGGGAGGCGCGGGTAACGTGTGGCGTGCTGGGGGGTGTGGTCAGGGGCTTTAGGAAGGGTCCGACTCAGGGGACGGACCAGGAAGGGTGGGTGGGGAGTAAGGCAGAGCTCCGAGTATTCCCGAACCTGGGGGGCTTTCTTTAGCCAAAGAGGGATCCGTGGCCCACTGGATTTTAGGGGAAAAAATGACATTGAGAGAATTTGGAAACACTGATAGTCCCTTCTGAGTAGGGAAAGAAACCCATCGCTCAGACTGGAACTCGGGCTGCTGGCCATCCTTCTGGACAATGCTGAGATTTGCCAGACTCACAGATGAGACCGTGCACCTGCTGCATTAGAAGAAGCGAGTCAATGGAGAAAAGAAAGTAAAACTCGCTGCTGACAGCAAAGTCACTGTGGTTCTGGGGCCCATCGTTTGCTGCCTGCCCACACTTTCCTTCTGACTCATTTCCTTACTCAGAGAAAACAGTTTGGAGAAGGACAAAATCCCCCTTCCTCCCCGTATGTCTTCAAGAAGACAACTTTCTGAGGCTTCTGTGAGGGGAGTGACAGGACACGATCCCAGGGAAACATCCTTAGAGGTGGGGTCACTGGACCCGGAACCTGACGGCAGACAGAGACGTTGTCCCCTCCCAGAGATGTGTGGAATCACGCTCGGGGCCGACGGAAGCCTCACAGAAGATCTGGAAAGGACATACCAGAAAGAAAGAATCCTAGTAAACCTTTGAGTTAGCAGAATATTGCGACCTCCAGGTCACTGACCGCCTGTCCCGCTTCAGGCCCCGTGTTGGCGGTGCACAGGCAAATTGCTGTGTCCCCAAAGGGCACACAGTCTGCTCAGGGATTAAAGAAAGTTGAGGGACTAGACCGGTCACCTGAAAACGGCAGCGTCATACCCGAACGGGGGGCTGAGGCTCGCCAGGCTCCGTGCTCAATGGCTCATACGTGATCTTCCTCACCGGTACAATAATCCCACAGGCCGGGTGCTGTCACCCCCATTTCACAGACCAGGGAAGTTCAGAGCAGCTGCATGGTTTGTCCCAGGTCTCAAAGCTCAGAGTGGCAGAACGGGGAGCCGACCCAAGGGCCCTGACCATGGCTACTCACCCAGGGCAGACGGCTCCACTGCACATTCCCGGAGTTAACTAAGGGGCTCAAAAACCCGGGGGTGCCGGGACTCCCCAGACTGACCGAGTCAGAAAGTTGAGTTTGACCAAAGCCTCAGGGTGTTCTGAGAGATCCTGGGTCCCCCACCTGCCAGCGGGCAGGAGCAGAGAGGAAGAGGGCCAGCGCTCTGCTGGCATAAGACCCCCGGTCGCCTGGCTAATGAGCAGGGACTGCGGGGAGGGAGTGCAGCCCACGGCTAAGCTCCTGGACAAAGCTGGCTCGCCTGGCAAGGAGCCCGGAGACAGCCCTGCTGGGAAGGTTCGGCAGAGCCTGGCGCTGGGCCGGGAGCCTGTTCAGGCGGCTGGCGTGGGCAGGGCCGCAGCGAGGTCTCCGGGGGGCTGTGTGGCCTCATAGCCTGATTTACCCGAGCAGAGGGCACCAGCTCTCAGTGTCTGTCTTCGGTGAAACGGTTAAGAAACATCTGGACAGATTACGGGGGATCGAGTGAAGAAAGCCTGTGGGGAGTTTATCATGACGTGGAAAAGGGTTACGTTAAACACTAGATTTTTAACGAGTAGCGTCGTGTGGGACGGCGCGTGCCCTGAGCCCACGGCAAGAATACGGACGCGATGTAGACGGTGTTGAGGGCAGAGAACTTGATCCGAAGCTCCCGCGTGATTGTGCGGCCGCAGCTGCAGGCCAGTCGCCTGCGTCCACTCACTGGAGGGGACTTGACGCCCGCCAGCAGGAGCCAGGCTCACTGAGCAGGTTCGCTGCTCTCTGGGGACCGTGTTCGGCAGAGCACAGCAGCAGGGACCCGCTCGCATCGTAACTTTGCTTCCGAACAAGCGAACAAGCAGGAGGGAGCGTTGCCGTTTCTTCTGGCCTCAGGCACCATGTTTCACCCTGGTTATTACCAAGGTCATGGGGCGGCCCGGGGAAAGGCGGGGTCTGTCCGCGTGGACGAGGCAGGTGCAGGTCCCGGGAAGGCCACGGGCTGGGCCTCTGCACACACTAGACCTGTCCTTCCTCTAAGCATCTTGGGGCGTCCCTTCTGGGGCCAGGTTTGAACAGAGAACAAGACAAAGCAGTCGGGAAGGAGACTTTCGAACTGTTGTCACCCTCGTGAGCTCCCGTTGCGGGGCATCGTTCAAGAGCATGACATGAGACCATGCGGCCGTGGCAGGAGAGCCGGGGCTGGGCTCAGGTGGGCCCCCGGTCCTGCCTGGCCTCCCGGGACTGGGCAGGTCCCCGGGGACCCCTCTGTGGCAGGTGGGCCCCGCCGTCAGGTGGAAAGCCCCGATTCACGTGCAGTTTGGTGCCTGGCGCTGTGCATTTCTCTGCGAGGCATTAACTACGGTGACTTCTCGGAGCCAGGAAGCCGAGCGAGTTTCAAAAGCATCTAGACATTCAGACCTCAAGAGAGACATTCTCAGCAGTTTTGAGAAATTTAGTAGGAAGGTGTTTCTTATAATAGACTAGGGAACTGTGCTGTCTCCGGCATCATGTACCGTCTATGCAGACAAAGCGAAGTGTGACAGACTAGAAACGCTATGTGCCAGGCAGAGCCAAGCGGGGAGCCCCGTGAGGTGTGCACCCCCGAACGTGGCCTCGAGCCCCGCCTGCCACTTTCCCGGGTCGGCCAGCGCAGGCCTGCGCAGTGGCAGGGGAGCAGACTCCTGGGACAGTGAAGGCGGACGACTCACCGAGACCAGACAGAGTGAGGGCAGCGCGGCTCAGCCTCCCCGGTCCCGTGACGGACCCACGAGAACACCTCGCATGAGGACGTGGCGGCAGCCTGCTTCCAGGTCAGCATTGTCGTGGCTGGAAAGGAGCTCCACTTGCTTCTCCGCTCTGCCGTCTGATGGGGCAGAAGAGCAGAAGGAAATCCCGCAGACCGTGTGGGTCCAAGCTTGGCCGCAGGGGTGCCGACGCGTGGGTCCTGCTCCTTGGGGCGCGGCCTCAGTTTCCTCTCCCCGCAACCCTCAGTGCTGGTCGTCAGCGCTCAGATCCCCGCCCTTCCTGTGCCCCCGGGGCCCAGAGGGCTGGCCGGCCTCAGGAGTAGGAGTCTCTGATGTCCCCCGGGGCCTCAGTTTCCCTGCCTCGGCCTCTGAGGGTGTTGAAGACCTTGCGGTAGGAGCATCTGAAGACGGGGTTGGAGAAGCAGTACAGCACCGGGTTCAGCACGCTCTGCAGGTAGCTGAGGCCGTTGGCCACGTCGGACACGTGCACCATCGCTCCTAGGACCCCGCAGCCGCCCGTGCCGCGGAAGACGGCCACCAGGACGCGGGCCAGGAAGCTGGGCAGGAAGCACAGTGCAAACAGGACCAAGGCCACCGTCACCAGCGCCCGGGCCCGCTGCAGCTTGGGCTGTCTGTCTGGCTCTCGCAGGCGCCTCTGGAGGGTCCTGATGACCCCGGCGTTGCAGAACAGGATGAGGCCGAAGGGGAGGATAAACTGCAGGAAGGACAGGGCTTCCTGCCAGAGCAGGCTCAAGGACGCGCCTCCCCGGGGCTCCGGACCGGGGCACGCGGCCTCCGAGACGAACAGGCTCTGGTGGGTGAGGCCGAGCAGCAGCAGCCACACGAAGCCCGACACCCCCCAGGCCACCCGCAGGGACAGGAGGTTGACCTTCAGCCGAGGGTGGACCACCCGGAAGTAGCGGTCCAGAGCCACGGCCGCGAGGAAGGCGACACCCACCCCGCGGCTGAGGACGTGCAGGAAGAGCAGGGTTTGGCACGACGCGCGTCCCCAGGGCCAGGTCTTCCGTCTCAGGTAGAAGGCGGCGTGGAAGGGCTGGCAGAAGGTCAGCAGGAGGTCGGCGGCGACCAGGTTGAGCAGGTAGACGGCGTAGGGCTTCCACACCTTCAGGCGGAAGCAGAAGGTCCACAGTGCCACGGCGTTGCCCAGGAGGCCCGGCGCGCACTCCAGCGCGAGCAGCGCGCCCACGGTCACCTCCACGGCCGCGCTGGGCGCCGAGCAGTTGGCGGCGGGCATGGCGATGGCGATGGCCCCGCCGCTGGATCCCGCCTGAGAGCCGCGGGGCGCCGAGAGCCCGGGCTCCGGGGAGGCTCCTTCCCACGAAATGAGAGAAACGCGCTTTTTCCCGCCCCAGGGTTTCTGTATGAGTTCTGCATTTTCTCAGCGAGAAAAAGGACTGAACCAGCATCAGGATGAAGTCAAAAGCAAACTAAAATTTGTTTGGGGAAAGAGGATCAGAGGGGAGGGAAAAAACCCTTGCAGTTTTGTTCTGTTTTGTTTTGTCCTGAAAAGGGGAAACTGTGTTTCGCTTGATTTCATCCGGCATTTCGCTGAGCGCCGATGTCCGGGATGTCTGGGGAGCACAGGGACACACCTGCGGCTCTGCCCGTGGAGCCTCAGTGGCTTCCGTGCGCCTCGTCGTCTCGTCCTTACACGGGTAGATCAGGATGGAAACCAAAGACTTCTCTAGCTTGCATATGCCTCGTGGGGAAGCCCCAGAGGAGGGACACTTACTGAAGCTCTCCTGCGTGGGCTCCGTTTCACACATGGGCACCCAGACCTGGTCCTGGGCATCGCAGAAGACGCTCTGGGTGGCCCGGTCTTCTCACTCACGGATGCCCACTTTCCGATTGTCCTTTTATTTTGTCCCGTTTTATTTTCTGTTGAGGAGCTTCCCCTCCCTCCTATGAGACCTGGATTAGGATCTAGACCTGTCAGACTCCATTGGCCTTGAGAGAAATGAAGTTGATGACTGGCCAAGATGCATAGATTCCACCAGAAAGTCAAGGTCATGAGATACAAGATGAATTCAGTCATCCCTTCCCATGGTGGACCATGCTTGACCTCGGTTCTGGCCCATTCTTGACCCTGACTCTCCTGGGTCCTGAGCCCCTGTTGACCCTCACCCACCTGGGTCCTGAGCCCCTGTTGACCCTCACCCACCTGGGTCCTGACCCACCAGTGAGCCCTACTCACCTGGGTCCTGACCCACCGTTCAGCCTCACTTATCTTGGTTCTGTTTAGTGTGGTTTGAGCTCTGGAGACAAGTATTTTTTCATTCCACCCCTGGCTTCTGCACTTAGTGGCAGTGTGATTTGGGGGAACCAAAGGAACGCCTGTGTTCCGGCGTCTTGAGTGAGAAGTGAAGGTGACAGCCCCTTGCAGGGTCATGCGTGTCTGAGATTCTGTTACAAATACAGTCCTGCACGCCGCACCCTGGTGTGCCGGGGCACTTTCAGCTGCCGTTGTTGACGTCCGTGTGCCGGCAACAAAACTCCTTCCGCTCCCAGCATCGAGCTTCCTTCTGCGCCTGTCATCAAGGGTGCTCCGATGTCTTCCCTTCGGATACCAGACTTTAGACCGAGAAACGTCTCAGCAGTAATAGCTACTAAGGTTTGCTGCATGTTTGTCTGGTGTGTGGCTCTCCACGCGCTCGCCCATGCTATCGCGGGGCACAGGCAGCAGTGAAGGGAAGTAGGTCAGTGTTAAGCTCTGTGTTGTGCACGAAGAAGTGGAGGCCCAGAGAGGTTCGTTCTTTGCTCAAGGTCACAGTTCAGCAAATGGCAGGAGCAGGATCCTCTCAGCCCCGAGTCCAACCAGAGCTGGGGGTCTTGACCACACGGCTCTGCTGCCCCCCAGTTAACCACGGTTCCCTTCTGTGTCATAAAAAGGCCGCATCTCCAGAACCCCACCAGGGTCATTGATTTACCTGATTTCAGGTGATTTGACCCAGAGTTTTCCTTTCCAGCTGGACCCCCGGCCTACACATTGCCCACCTCTGCATCAGGCAGGATCACCTGTCTCTCTGTTTTCTAAGAAGGTACCTGTGGAGAGTCGTCCAAGCATCCAGACTGTGGGAGTGTCCCAACGGCACCACCGTGGTGATGCCTTCTGTGGACAGGGACTCGCCAGTGGCACACTCACTGTGGACAGCTTCGGCCAGCTCCCGGGGAGGGTCGCCGGAGGCCATCTGCTTCATCTCTGCGACGGCTGTCGGCACAGGAGGACGCCCAGGAAGCTGGCAGCTAACTCTTCAGGGACACAAGTGACTCAGATGTGCTCCTCACAACACGTTGAAGACAGCGACAGACTTTCAGAGCTACCCTGTAACTGCGGACTTCAGCGTGTGCCAGACACCTTCTAAGTCATAGCCAGCCCAGCTCATTAGACAACACAAAAATTAATAATTATTACATATTTTTGTGTTTAAATATGGGAAATAAAAATAACAGAATTTAAAATTCTGCTTCTTTTTCTCAGTACTCATTCATCTTCCTTATTTCTAAGAGACTGAATTGTTCTTTACTTCCTGTCTTTTAAAGGTGCGCTATATCAGCTTCTCCCTTGGGGATCTTGTCTTAGTAAATCTTATTATCCCCAGGAACTCTATTTTCAATCACTATTACTATTTCTTCAATGTTCTTCTCATTAAGGAAGCTTCCCTCTTCTCAAAGAGAAGTTTTTATGTATGCTTTACTCACACGCCTGTTCCCAAATTTAAATGAAAACGGAATCTTCAAATTGTGGTTGTGCTTCAAACCAGCACAGCCTTTAATTCTCCTTTTCCTTTCCAGTTTTTCTTTTGCGTCTGAGGATAAGCAGGTGGAAGACTAAATTGGGTTTTCCTGTCAGCCGCTTCGAGGTCAGCCAGTGGCGGGGATTGAAGTGACAGTCCCTACAAGGCCACTTCTTCTCACACACGATTGTTAAGTCAGGGGTCTCCAACACCACCCCCAGTTTTGACGATTCTCTAGAAGGACCCGAGAACTCACTGGACATTATTTTGTTCAGAGTTTCATTTTATTATAGAAAAAGCATAGATTGGAATCCACTGAGGGAGGGAGAAGGTGCATGGGACAGAGTCTAGGAAAGTAATAAGTGTGGAGCTTCCTTTGTCCTGTCGTGGATTAGGGATGGAGTGACATTCTCAGTATCCAATCAAGCATTGTCAGCGGGGGGAGCTGCAGCCTTGGCATCCAAACGCCTCGTCGAGGTCCGTCCCGTCAGGGCGGCCGAGCTTCCATGTGGCCCGTCCTAGGCTCCTTCTGTCCTGGAGGGCTGGCTGGTTTGTGTGACCCAGAGCCCCGAGCCTCATCACAGTGTTACCATCTGGCTGGCCCAAAGCCCCCGGGGAAATCATATCTCCGTCAAGCATGACCTCCCAACAGAGATGACCTCCTGGCTGCTGAGACCAAAGGTCAACACCTCTTTTTGGGCAAAGTTAAATACTTTATTAGACACTTAAAAAAAAAAATTTAGAACATATCAAGCATTGTTCCTTTTGTGCTGGGGATACAAATACTTACGATGTTCAAAATCTTTCCTGACTTTGAGGACTTATCTTCCAGCAGGAAAGGCCAAGGAATACACACAGATCTGCGAGGAGCGCGTGATAAAATTCAGTAACAGGTACGACTGAAACGGGATGGGGATAGGGTTGTCAGGGATGCGGGACGCGCCCATGGCTGGGGGCGCCCAGTCCCACTCGCTGACGGCACGTTGTTTCCTCGGCCCGGGCGGCTGGCTGTCCTACGGATTTCACAAGTTCACTGCGTCCCACTTTCCTTTCTCGTGGCCGTACCCGACTGCCCAGCCCCACGACCCTGCTCCTCCCCGTCCTAAGGAATTTCTGCTTTACCCCAGCGGGGCAAGACTCCGGGTCTAAGACTCGGTGACTCTTCACGTCTCTTACTGTCACCTCAGACTCTGGGAGGCTGAGCCTTCGGGGACAGGAGCAACGGTCATTTCCGAGAAAAGTGGTCATGTTTTAGAAAAAGGAGCTGGGAGTGCAGCCTCGGAGGGAGGAAGTCATGTGACTGTGGCCAAGTCCTGTGATGGTCCCGAGCGCACGTCTGGATTTAGGGTTTGGGTAAAAGAATTTCGGCGACCTCAGAATATCCCTGCGACGCACATACCACCAACGGAATGAACGATGAGTGTTATCAGTGTTTCACGCACACGGGATGGAGCCCCGCCTCGGGCTCCCTGCTCGGCGGGGAGCCTGCTTCTCCCTCTCCCACTCCCCCTGCTTGTGTTCCCTCTCTCGCTGTCTCTCTCTCTCTGTCAAATAAATAAACAAAATATTAAAAAAAAGAGAAATCATTAGGGATATAAGTTATTGTTGTAGAAAAATGTTAACCCTACAAAAAAGTTGTGAATGATTATACTCAAACTCCCACACAGGTCAAGTGCAGAAAGGTGCTTCCTAGTGGAATGAAAAAAGAAAAAGAAAAAAAAAGCCAAACAAACTAAAACAACAGCAAGAAAACCCCCAACAAATTTTTCACCATTTTTGGGACACATGTTAAAGGGGAACAGTTTCTAGTTCAGGACGGAAAGCCCCTGGCTCTTGCGAGGCGGACGTGCGAGAGGAAGATGTGGATGGAAGCAGAAGTTGGGGCAGTCTTGGAGGATGGGAGTAGGTTTTCAGGGCTGTCCTCTCACCGCTGCTGGAGAAAGGATCAAACATAGCCAGAAATGGCATTTAAAAATGGACTTTTCTGAGACTGATCGTTTAAAGTACGTGATTCACTTATTTGCTCATTCAGCAAATCTGGGGCACCCTGACCACGGTCGAGTCCCATTTACAACCCCCAAAGCATCTTCGTAGAATAATCTTGAATGTTACCTGATTGCACATCTGACGTATTCTCAATGCGTAGAAGTGGAAAACACAGAAAAGCACGATGAAAAGGGAAAAGACAGGAGCTGTGACACCCCCTCCCCCAAGCAGAGGCACACTTTTTTTTTTTTAAAGATTTTATCTATTTATTTGACAGACAGAGATCACAAGTAGGCAGAGAAGCAGGCAGAGAGAGAGGGGGAAGCAGGCTCCCCGCCGAGCAGAGAGCCCGACGCAGCGCTTGATCCCAGGACCCCGGGATCATGACCTGAGCCAAAGGCAGAGGCTTAACCCACTGAGCCACCCAGGCGCCCCCACACATGTATTTTTAATCGTAGATGGTGTCGGGGCAGCTGGGGGGCTCTGTCGGTGAAATGTCTGACTCCTGGTTTTAGCTCAGGTCGTGAGCTCAGGGTGGTGAGATGGAGCCCCGAGTGGGGCTCCTCGCTCAGTGTTGCATGCTGGGGATTCTCCCCTCTCCCTCCGCCCCTTGCTCACAGGGTATTTTTTTTTTCTCTCTCTCTCTCAAATAAATAAATCTTAAAAAATTAAATGGTGTCCAGCGTAAGTATTGTTTGCGCTTCTTCCCGATCCCTGACCCACGCCCTTCCCGGATCAGGGCGGGGACCCCAGGTGTGGATGCGCCCCCCGCACTGGCTCTTCTCCTTTCCGGGCTTCTTTCCCTCCCGGTGCGATAGGCCAGCACAGGCCGTGTCTGTAGCTGCGAGGCCTGTTGGAAGCGATCTTCAGGTTCTGGTTTTCCTGAGGCCGGGGCGACATGCTGGTCCCACAAATGTCCTCTCTCTCCTCATGGGGGGAGGGGCGTGGAGCCCACGGGCCATCCGTGCGGGCCGCAGGCCCTGACCTTCGTCTGGCGCCCAGCACTGGCCCAGCACAGTGCAAACTCACAACCTAATAATTGAATCCTTAAATTTGTGATTATTTTCTAATAACAGAAATGATCTCTTCGATATAGAAAATACAGGCACCAGGAGCGTCAAAAAGGAAAAACATCATTTATAACCTTGCCGTGCAGAGAATTTCCTTCCAGGAGGTCGTGCGGACAAGATAGAGTCGGTGCTGCTAGACGCGGCTCACAAGGGGCTTTGCCTCCATTCGACGTGCAGTTTTTACTAATTTATGTTTTAGAGAGAGACCAGGCGGCCCCTCTGGCGACTCGCGGGGGAGTCTCAGTTTCCCCTCAGGGTGCATTATTCTACGAGACACCTGGGCCTCACGCTTTGTCAGTGAGCAGAGGAGCAGACACAGGGATGGGAGTGTTTGTAATTCTGATTAAAACGTACTTCTTAGGGGCACCTGGTGGCTCAGTCAGTGAGGCGTCTGCTGTAGCTCAGTTATGATCCTGGGTCCTGGGTTCGAGCCTCGAATCGGGCTCCCTGCTCTGCCAGGAGTCTGCTTCTCCCTCTGCCCCTCCCCCTGCCTGTGTTCTCTCTCTCTCTCTTGCAAACATAAATAAATAAAATCTTCTAAAAAATGAAAATAAATGAAACACACTTCTCAGAGCCTGATCCTTGAGAAGCGCCGCCGCCTTTCTCTTCTCTGTGTCCTTGCGCTCTGGCTGCAGAGCTGTGAGTTTGGGGGAGAAGCCCTCGTTTTCCTGTTTTTTGGGCTCGAGGTCGTGACAAGCCTGCCTGTCCCCTGCTGAGCTGCCGGTCGAGCCGTCCTCCTGTGGGCGAGTGCTGGTCCCCACAGACTTGGAGGGGAAGGAATCCTGAGAGAATCACATTTTATCAACCAAGTACCTTTCTCCCTTTATCACAATCAAACAGAAAGTGAAGCCACGTTCACACAGGAGTCCTCCCAGTTCTGGGGAAGCCGGGGAGCAAGAGGCCTTTGACCTGACGCTTAGCAGGCAGAGAGGGAACTTCCAGGGGACAACGGATCTGCCCATACAGGGAGAGAAGAGGACCTGAGGTTCACAGTGGACCCCATTCAGGACCAGCTGCATTTCTCAGCCTGAGGCCCTCAGTGGAGCAGGGGAGACAGTTACGCCCCAAACTAAGACATCTTGGCTACATTTAGCCATTTTCCAGTATTTGAAGAACGTTATAATCTGGTCAATCTAACAGTTCGCAGGGATCACCTTAGGCACGGTCACTACTGTGTTTTCAAACTGGTACTCAGTGGGCGTCACCAGCTACAAACGATCTTTCCGTTAAATCATAGAATCACAGCATGTTTTAGAGCGAGTGAACTCTTAGAAATTAACCCCAACTTCTCATTTTGCAGGTGAGGAAACCAAACCCCCCGGAGATTTATTGACCTGACCTTGACCTGGGCCAAGTTTTCCCAATTAACGTCTCTGTCCTTCCTGCACGTGCCCAGAGCGCCCAGCTGCGGCCGACACTGTTTGACAACATGCTTCCCACAACGTCTGGTCCCTGGGAGTCTTCAGGCTGTTTCCTTGCCCCGCTCTTCTTTCTCCTCCTGCCCCTGGTCTGCAGTCCCGGGGACGGAGCCTGCCCTGGCCTTGCCTCTTCTCTCCTCGAGCCTCCAACAGCCTGATCCAGCTCCTTCCGCTCCTGGTCTGTGGGTGCAGCGGGCCTCTGGGGCTCC